GCTTTGGTCTACTTGTGTTGCTGGAGGGTGTTCCTGCCCATGGCAGGGGCGGTTGGAACTGGATGATCTTTAAGGTTCCTTCCAACCCAAACCAGTCTGTGATTCTATGATTCCTTAACCAGTTGTCCCTAGGCCCTGAAGTCTCTCTTGACTGCCCTTGATTGTCTTCGGTCAATTAGTAAAAGCTAGAACCCAAATTAATGTCATTTGAAAGAGGTACTTTCCAATAATTTTATGTAATTTTTTGAAAGCCTACAAGTTTGATAGAGCTAACTAGATAGATATGGCATGCTTATACTTCTGCAAGTCATTTGACTTAGTTCTGCATGACATTCTAATAAGAAAAATTAGCTCTATGCAACAATCAGTGTGATCAGGATTAACAGATTTGAAAGAATTGGATAACTGAGAAGACTTATTCTATATAGCCATTTGACAGATGTAGTTGTATTCTATTCACATATCAACGCTATATGTTATTAGCAATCAGGGAGAAAATAAAAAAAATTGCTCGTAAAATTATTGGCGTGGATAAAAATGAATTGTTGGGATGGTAAAAGTAACAGGTGGCACTTGCCCTATACAACCTAATCTGGATTGCTTGAAACACCAAGTTCATGAAAAACCTGGTTTGTTACATCTAAGTATAAGGTGCAACATACAGGAAAGAAGAATGTGGGCTTCATTTTAAAACAGGGACAGCATCCTGAGTAGTAATGAGTATGAAAAACATTTAGAGGTTGTGACATATGCCATATGAACACAAAACGTGATGAATGGGAGGGCAATGCTGCCATTGCTCGTCCTGGGCTGTGTAAATAATCACGTAATGTCAAATATGAAGCTAAGGTTTCTGAGGCATTTGTGTAGATCTCACATCCACATGGCAAAGAATAGCTATTACACAATCATAGCACATCCATCTTTTGAATGTTGTGCACAGTTGCACTCCCTTCATCTCAAAGTGATGCACTAGGATCAGTAAAGGGATAGGGAAAGCCTCTGCTTGTGGTTAAGGGCTGGGTGACAGCTGCCACACAGGGAGTGGCACAGGCAAATAGAATTCCTGAGTAAGGACAGCGATGACAGGGATCAGTGTAGCTTTGAATAATACGATGAAGAGGAACAGACTATAGTTGCCCGCATATTCTGAGAATACAAGAGTTAAAGGGCATCAAATGAAGCAAAAAGGTGGCAGCATAAAGACAAATAAGAGGAGGTGATCGACATAACGTGCAATTAAGTTATCCTTGTCACAAGGATATCAGAATGCTCAAACATACATGGGTCCAAAAAGTGCCTGGTGAAATTTATGGAAGAAAAAAAAAAATTCTCTTTATAACTGCTAAATACAAAGATGCCCTTTTGACTCAAAAGTACCTGAAATGCAATTTACAGAGCTCAGGCATGAGGATGGACATCCTAGGGAAGGGCTTTTCTATACTTGCTTTGTCATTGTACCCTTCTATAAGTACCATTATGGTTTACTAGTCCACCTATTATGGCATGTTATGCTCTTTACTGAGGAACAGGAAAGATCAAGTAAGAGCCCAGCAGATACTCGAGGCTGGGAAGTCTGCAGGGAGATACTGATGCAGTTGATCTTTCAGTTAAAGGAAGGGGATGCTAGGAACAGGCAATGCTTTGACTGCACAGAGAGGGTCAGAGTAAGACCCAGTAGCTGCAGCTAGGATGAAAACTTCTGTCTAGAAATGGGATGATTTTTTTTTTTCCCTGAGCACATCACTTGGACAGCTGCATGGAGAATGTGGCAGTGGACTCGCATTACTTCAGCCAGTCATACGGGTGTCTCTTGCTGACTGATCTGCCAAAAAACTGAGATGGATGCTGAAGCAGGACCAACAGCATGTGCCCAGGAGACATTCCCAGTGAACCTGGGACACAGTAGCAATCAGCAGCTGCCTGTGCCTGTAGCAGTTCGTAAAAACACGTCAGAACCACATTCCCCTGTGCTAATAATGTCACATGCTTGCTGTCCTCAGTTGAGACCATAGCCCTCACACTCAGGACAGATAAACTTCCCTGGCAAAACTCCTGTCCCAGCAAGTACATTCAATGCTGCATTAGAAATTTCCCCTTTAGAAACCTGAGAAAAAGTAGCACAGCTTGTTATATTGCCAAAATGTGCTCTGGAACATCAAACCTTTTAAATTCTCTTCTTGTAAATGTTTTTTTAAAAAAATTGCTAATTGATTAGCATAATTGAGTTAAACTCAGAGCATTTGTTCTCAGCCTACACTTAGCTTGAACTTTTCTGATTGCTACAGTTCCGAAAAAGGGCTTGAGAGCCCAAAATTTTTCTGGTTTTGGTTGGGTTTTTGTTTGTTTGTTTGTTTGGGTTGGGTTGGGTTTTTTCCCCCCAGTTAAATCAGTCAAACTGTAAAAGATACTCCCCTTTTCCTACTAGCCTCACATTCCTTGAAAATGGTTACTCAGTGGTATCCTTACACACAATGAAATCATGCCCTTTTAATTTCAGTGGGAAGACAGAAGAAACCCAGTCTATGAAGATTTGTGCCCAGGGATGGCTTGCCCCTCTCAGCCCTCTGCTTGACCTCAGCCCTCCCACTTATGCTGGGATCCCCTGCCTACAAACCTGGTAGCTCTGAAAGGAACCCTGGAAATTCATCTGCAGTCCCAGCACAGGTCCTTCATTACAAGAGGTGCCTGTCTATGCCAAGACACCTTTGTCCAAAGAGGAACTGGCAGTGCCAGGAGTTGGCCTGCCCACGCGTGCAGTGGCAATGCGTGCTCCTGTGTTTGCAGAAACAAAACGCTGTAGGGTCACCTCTTTCAACCTGAGCTGCCCTCATCACCCAAATGCAGAGCAGACTTCAGAACTAGCAAAAGTAATCAGCAAGACCTGAGGCGTGGCTTTAAATCCAACAGCTCCAAGAAACAATTACAAAATAAAGCAAACCATTAAATTCAATCCTTCCCTGTCCTTAAGGTGATATTATCTTAGTGGCTGAGTACACATTACTGACCACACATTAATGTGGTTATATGGACAGTGCTGGAAAGAAGAAGGACTGGCAGACACGTGCTGTTCTACAGACTGCCTTCATACCAGAGATACCCATTCAGGCTAAGGTGATCCCAGACTGTGCTGCCACCGAAAGGGACAGACCCTCCTTCTTCTGCTCTTCCTCCAGTCAGAGATGTGATCTGGCTAAAAATGAACACTCTGGAGTGGTGATTAGAATTTGGGAATAAGACTATGGGTCCTGCTCCCACGAACAGATCACCCTGAACAGACATGCGAGCTCAGCCGGTGGGAAGGTGGTGACTTCAGGCTGGGTTCCTGCACCGGTTCAAGGGAAATGCACCACTGATCCATGGTAATGGTGTGGGCCGTTATCTGGGTATTTTAAAAGCTTTGACTCCCCTGCTCCCTTCATCCCTGTTTTGTAGATAGTCTTGGTACGTCACCTTGAGCCGACACCTCACCCCTCTGCCCATGGATGCCATAAAACACATTGTTAAACCTTTTTAAGATATACCATCTCTGTACTGCAATAGTAGTACCTGCACACACAGGCTGCCATGACTGGTTTCCTGACACCTTTTGTAAGCCTGTAACGTGTAAACACATTCCTATTGTATCCTATTAGCATTCATGCAGTGGTGCATCACTGGTGTGAGTGCATTAGGAATGGCACCTGAACCTCGCATAGTTATTTCAAGCTTGCTACCTCAGAGCAGCATGGTCTAGTTGTGTAAGGTGGTGATAATTGGTGGAGCAGAGCTACACCCTGTGTCCCAGCAGAGGCAGAAAAAGACAGGAGCATTGGGTCTGTCAGACTGCTTAACCTTCAGATCCGTGTGTTCCAGTGTCCTGGTGCCAGTGTGGACGTTAACAGAGACGTTGAAAGACCTATGCAAAAAGGAGCAACCTGCAGTGCTGCACTAGCGTACCTTCTGCCAGCCAGCAGCAGTTCAGGCACTCCTTGAGTCAGGAGCAGGAAAAAGGATGGTTAGTGCTTTGATTTCTTTACAACTGTGCCTTTAAATCACAGGAACAAACGTTACCCTTTACCTTGTCTAGAGCGCAGCGCAGCCCTGGCAGCAGTGTGCGGACCTGTACTGTGCTCTGGTAGATGCTGGCTGGGCTGTCCTAGGGGCTGGCTGCTCTGTGCCCAGAGGACCGGCATTCCCAGGGCGTGCTTCCTCCTTGCCCCACATCAACATCCTCAGTGCTGGCACAAGCACTGCTGTCCTGCCCCAAGCTGCAAAGCCAGGCAATCCCAGACATTGTACCTGCATGGGAAGTGCGTGGTTGGGAGGCCTCAGCCCCACATCCACCACGCATTTCCCTATGTCCTCTGAGAAGCAGATGGATGCATAGGTCTGAGAGTGCACATGCCACTACACATGGCATGTCACATGGATCAGCTCTGTCAGGACAGCCATCAAGGCAAGGCAGAAGTTGTACTCTGGTACGTATAAAGAAAGACTAGGGTTTATTCCATACATCTTTGGGTACAAACTGTAAACAACTTGATTAAAGACAGGATTCCAGCAAATACCCAGGGCACCAGAGCTGCCTGGTTCAGGTTAGAGTTTGTAGATTTGGGATAGGGAGGCTGATATCATACAACTAAAACTGTGATCAATGCAGTGTATTTGCCCCTTGTCCCACAAAACACCCTAATCCCCATATCTTGCTTTTCTTAGTGAGTCTGGAGTTTGTCTTGGTTAGTATGGGTAAAGAGAACACTCCAAAATAGGTGTGGGAGGCAGAGCACAAGGCTGGCTGGGGCAGGGACACAGCGACAGGTTTGGCACAGGGGGCTGACGTGGCCTGGCAGGAGGCGTGCGAGGGGAAGGAGTTAGCTGGGAAGGCACAGACTGCACCAGCAGGGATGGAACATCTGCACAGAAAGGCACAGTAGGGCTGGAACTGCAGCCCTTAGTAAAGAACGTCCTCGAAGCTGAGCAGCAGGTAACGGTGCAAGGCACTTGGCAGGTGCAGCTGAGACAGGACCGGAAGCAAACGGCCCTCCAGGAAGGTCCTGAGTGTGCAGCGAGCCAGGTGCTGCAAAGAGCGAGGTCTTTGCTCCAGGGAGAAAAGTGACTGGTAGAAACGTGGGTATTTCTACAGAGAGAGAAGAGAGGACCAGAAGCAGATAAAGCTGAAGATACCACCCTGGGAGCAGAGGTGGAACCAGACATCCCTTTACCTTAGTTACCGTGGTCAACCCTCCCTATCCCCCAACAACCCTACCCCTGTGCCCTGCAAATCTCCACCCAGCCCCAGCTCTGCCCTGCCCCAAACTCCCCTCGGCCCCAAGCCTCTTCTGGCACCCTGCCGCAGTAGCCCGGCTGCACGTTCTCCAGCCGGCAGCGTGCATCCCCTCACCTGTACAACCTCTGCTGGAACCACTTCCACCCAGTCCTCGGAGATGCGCACATGATCATAGCTGTTCATCAGGGCCTCGATGACACGCGGGCAGGTATGGCAGTACTGCAGCACCTGCACCAGGGAGAGAGCAGATCAACACTGCCTTTGGGCAAGGTCCTGCAAGCCCCACCTTCACCTCCTAAAAAGCTGCACACACTCAAAGCCAGCCTTGGTAAATCTAGCACAGCACTCTCCTTCGTCCATGCTGTCCCAGGAGATCAAACGTACAGATGGTGGGAAATGCCAGAGCACCGCTCCTGCAGAGAGGGTGACTGAGCCCACACCCGACACACACAGCACGGTTACGTTCAGCACAACTGGGTCCCCACAGCCTCTCCTCACATGCAAGGACTAATGTACATGGCTAGGATGCAGATCTCCTTCGTCTGCCTCACTGCCACAAATAGCTTGTAAGCAACCAACCCTCTGCTTTATGCCAGGCTCCTTTCCTCACATTTTTCTAGTTAGAGCATGAGCCATGCTGGGGCAAGGACTGACACTCATTTTGTGTGCAGCAAGACTAAAGCATACCATGCCTCTGTGGAGGGCTACACAGGGGTCTCAGGGATGCACTGTGCCTGTTCAGCATGGGGCTGCAGAGACATCCTCTATCCGTACCGCACGCAACGGGTATCCTTAGAAGTACTACGCCCATGTTAGCTGCCACACAGCGCCCCAGGAAGACATCACACATATTTTGTGCAACACATCTCTGCTGTGTACTATGTCCATGTAGGTGCAAGCAACACACTAGTGCTGTGTATCTTACACCACCAGTGTGGCCTTTGGAGCACACCCCACCCATGCATAGCTGCACAGAGGCAGATCCCCCCCCCAGCTCTTGGCTCCCGCTCCCTATGGCCCAGGCCAGCAGTAGCTGTCAGAGTCTATTCCGGCTGTACCAGTGATCCTCATTATCTGGCGTTAATAGGAGATTAATTAGTGTTAATTGTTGATTTTCCTGTATTTTCCCAAAGGGGAGAGCAATCTGCTGATCTCCGGGCTGGGTAATTATTGCACTGCTCAGGAATTAAGACAGGAAATTAACCCTTTGTTTGCTGGTGTCTTGCAGAGACAGCGTGAGTTCAAGGGTATGCCCCAAAGAGGAAACACATGCCCAGAGAGGAAAAGGGCCAACACTTTCCAGGGCAAGTGATTGTGGAAACTGGGTAAGTACTGTCCACACAGCTTAGCAGACAGAAGCAGGAGAGTCCTACAGGAGACCAGACCCCAGGAGAAAACTTCAGGGGATCCCTTACCAGTAATGCCAGTTCCCCCTCCCCCAGCCCCTGGGAAGAGATAGGCAGGACAGCAAGCAGGCTAGCACAGAACAAGCCCTGCTGTGACAGAAACATCCTTGCTCTCACTAGGGCCCTGATGTTCACAGCCTTCCTTCCCTTCCCTTCCCACCATGCTCCCGGCACAGCCGCGAGCCCTGCACCTTGAGGAGTGAGCCAGGCCAGATGCGGATGGCACCGTAGTTGAGCAGGGCTTGCACCACAAGCTCTGGGTGGTGCTCTAGCTTGTAGGCAGTTGCTTGCAGGATATTGTGCAGTGCCGTGTTGCCGCTGTAGTTCATGATGTTGACATTTGCACCCCGGGCCAGCAGTAACTCTGCTACTTGAGCATTGGCATTCTTGCAGGCCAGGTGAAGTGGGTGCTGGCGGTCCCTATCTGCAGCATTGATGCTAGCACCACTCTCCACCAGCAGCTGGCAGACCCGGTAGTAGCGGTCCATGTCCTGGGGTTGATGGGGCTGAGCACAGGCAGCATTCAGTGGCGTCTGCCCCTCCTCATTCTTTGCCTCCAGCTCTGCCCCATAGCGCAGAAGCAGCTGGACGTGGTCTGTGAGGCCATGCCGTGCTGCTACATGCAGTGCTGTGTCATCTTCTTCCTCTGTCCGACTGTTCACACTGGCGCCATGCTGCAGCAGCTGCTGGACACACCTATGTGGGCCAAGAAGACTCAGTGACAGGCTCTCCTCTCCATCTCTTATCCTACCCCCCACCTCACCATATCTGTACCGGCTTTCATTTTTCCCCGAGAGTCCAAAAATTCCTGCTCCTCACATCCCGGAGCGGAGATACTGTCATCCCAATTCTAGCTAACTCTCCACAAATCTTCAATAAAGTGTCATCACACCCCGAGTGTGCTCCCACACCCCATGGAGGCCCGTCTGCACAGCGCATGCCCTGAGCTTCGCGGTGTGACCATCGGCCCTGTATTGCTGGCGGGTAGCGAGGCAGCAGCACCAAGGTGAGCTGCACCAGCTGAGGACTAGAGCTTGCAGTCATCTGTTAGACTTTGGCGGCTGTCCTGGTGCAGGAACAGGCAGTACGGCCACCCCATGCAGCAGTCATTGCTGCAACCACCAGCCCACCTGCAGGGATGAGCAGGGACCCCTTCTACAGAGGATGAGGCTTGAAGGGGAGGGAGGCCCACCGTGCCCCCTGAGTAGAACTCACTCAATGGAGTGTGGGCTCTTGCAGAGATGCAGGGGCTTGTAGCCATCCTCAGAGACAGCCTCAGGGTCAGCACCAAAGTTGAGCAGCAGGTGCACGCAGTCTGTACTGGCTGCTGCACAAGCCTCGTGCAGTGCAGTCTTACCGCCTGGTGCAAAGTTGACGGCAGCACCCCTGAGCAGCAGGAGGTGCAGGCAGTCTGTGTAGCCCCGGCTGGCTGTGATGTGCAGCGGCGTGGTGAGCTCCTGCTCATAGCTCAGAGACCACAGTCCTGCAGGGAAAGCGAGGTCAAGGAGCAATGTCCAGCCACAGCGCACAAAAGCACTGGGCCCAGACCTACCTTTCCCCCAGGGTACCCGACGTACATCCCCACTTGAGAGACTCGGGTTTCCCCTCAAGGGACTGCCTCTTCCTGCTAGTCCCTTCTCTGCCTTTGGACTGGCCTGCCAAAGGCAAAGATCTGGGGACGTCTTAGCCTGCACAGCCATGCTGACAGGGAACTCAAAGGAGCAGGAGCCTTGGGGCAAAGCCCGTTCCCAGAAAGTGTGCTTTTCACCTGCAGCTCAGCCATGTGGCACAGGGTTTCTGTTGACGGGAGTACAGCGGATGAAGGGCCTGGGGCACAGGCACAGCTGAAAGCAGCAAGGTGTTTGGGAAGAGCACCATGCACAAAGCACTGCAAATACAAGTAAAATAAAGAGGTGCTGGAACAGGCTGCCACACACACCCGAGATTCAGACAAGTCCTGAGCATGGTGCAGGCAAGCAAGCTTCAGCAGAGATGGACATCTAGGATGTAGGAGAGAGCAAGGGGCTGAAACCTGCCAGCTCTCAAAGATGCTGACCCAGCTGGAACCATTGCTGAGCTCGTGTGGTCTCCTGGCAAACAGCTGGCAGCTGTTACAGGAAAAGGGCTCCTTAAATCATGCTGCTTGCTGCCCATCCAGGCTGGGCTGGAGGACCATGTCCCAAACTGCGTCACACGTTCAACACTACATCTCTCTCACCTCTTTCTCACAGAAGCAGCATGCAGCCAGCTGTGTTTCCCAGGGCCAGGTTCAAAATGAACCATCTTGAGGACATAATGCAGGGCTGCGACAATTTCTTGCCCAGCACAACCCACAGAGAGAACCAGCAGCCCAGCACAGGCTGCACACAGAACAGGCACACAGAGCCAGGCTACAGGGCCGGTCACAGGAGCACAACCTGGAGTTTGAATCTCCTTTGCCCAGTGGAAGAACCCAAGCAGTTTCCAAGCACTTGCACAACCCCTGCTAGAAGGGCCAGGTATCCCAGACACACCTCACGCTCCCAGACACATGCACAATCTCCCACAAGCAGCACAGGGGGACCCAACCGCATCCCAGTGCTCTTGCTCCCACCCCCACACCTCCATAACCCAAACTGCACCCATAACACACAGTCCCAGCAATAGTAATGTCCTGCAACATAAGCAAAAGGCTCCGAGCCCCTGCTCAGCTGGGCCACGCTGCCTGCCCGCTGCCCCCCTGCATACTCAGCCGGCGGAAGTTGAAGCGGTAGTTTTTCCACTCTTCCAGGTCACTGGTGTCAAACACAGCATTAGGACTCAGGTCGTTCCGAGGGTCGCTGAGGATCTCAGCCACAATCCCCTGATCCCCAGACAGCAGGGCCTGCCAGTAGACCTGGGCAGGGCCATCCACCTTCCGCGTGCAAATGGGCTCCTGAATCTTGTCTCCTCTGCCCGTGATGCTACCCATGATGCAGGACCCAGCCCCTCTGCAGAAACCAGGGCAGGACCTGCTGGCCAGGCTCTGAGCCGGTGGGTACAGCCCTACCTGTGCCCTGTGCTCTGGCTGACCGGCTGCCTGTCTGCCCCAGGGCGCTCCACAGGGAGGGAGGACATGTTACATCACTGCTTGGCCCAGGTTGGGTACAGCTCAGGTCTCAGCTGTTCTATTCTGGGAAACCTTGTGACCAAACGTTTGGGCCAAGAGGCCGACAAGGACACTCCTCTCAGGCAGCAGTATCTCTGCAGTAGAGATACTGGGCAGGGCAGGGTCGAAAGGGTAGAAATAGAGACAGGACATCACTAAGAAAACATAGAGGGAAGTAGTCTCATGGCCAGCTAGCCTGCTGTCGCCCAGTTGCTGCTCAGACCGCAACAGCACAACCCAGCTGCCTCCATACACCAGCAGCACACCTTTGACCAGCCTTTGGCTCCTTGTGCACCTCCAGCACTGCACCTCTGTTTGCTAGTTCCACCCAAGCCCTTGGCACTAGACAGGTTTTTAAACAAGCCACAGGAAAGTTCTTTTTAATCAAAACTTAAAGCCGAAGGGCAGCTAGAAATAGGTACAAGAATGGGAAACAGTGCATTACACGTGAAGTAAAAACATAGAAGGTAATTATTCTTTAGACTCCTTCCTACTGTTCCTTGAAATTCAGCCTTGCGCAGAACTCCTGCTCGGTTTTAGTACTCCCTTTCCATCCTCTGACAGTCCCCTCACCCAGGGTTCCTCACTGCTGTCCTTTCACCTGAGATGGCATTTTCCCCCCTCCCCACTTAGCTGTATAAACCCCCTCTGCCCCTACTTCGGTTACAGAACAGCACACTTCGCTCACAATTTGTCAGCATTGTGTGCATTTTGTTCAGACCGTATATTCTAAAGAACACATTGAACCGCATGGAGGACTAGTAGTGTTTAGTTTAATTTTGTGTCATGGAACTATTCAGATCATGCAGCTAAAACCAAGTTAATTGACCCCAATAGACCACCAAGCAACAATTACCTAGGGGACCAGAGAAGAGTGTAAGATAGGGAACTGTACCCTTCTCAGTAATGAAAATAAATGACCAAGTTCTATACTGACAGTCTCCAGCATCCTCTGTCTGTGCAGACTTCACCACCTTGTCTAACTAGAAGTATAGTGCATGAAAGGGTAAAAACACAGAAGCACCTGCAGACTTTCTCACCTGATAGGATCCTCTGCTTCCCCAAAGATATAAGCAGGTATCCCATGAGAGCCTGAGGTTCCCAATCGCAAAAGCATCGCCAGGTAGGCAAAAGGCTGTGAGAGTTAGTGTCGGTAACACCATACAATTTACACTTCCACCGGGGTTCTTAAAGTATCAATAGGGATGACTTGGGAAAGACCAGGTCACTAGAATCTACTTTTAAGATTGCTGGCTGGGTAAGTTTTAAGAAACTGTCTCTGTAGGCCAGTGAGATACATAACCAAAGTCTTAGGTAGCACAAAGGTTTGCTTTTCATTTTTTGCAGCACATTTTTGGTCTGTGCTTGATTAATTATCTTATTCGATTGGGTTTTTCACATCTTGAAACTTTGGTGGTAAGAGCAATTTCGGTGTGAAGTTGTTTTACATCAGCTGTTCTGTTTTCTTTGGGCCATGAATCTTTACAAGCAGACCAACTTGCTGTTCAAGTGTGTCAGCCCAGTATAAGACAGGAGTTAAAATGTGCAATTAATATTTTTCTGACAAGTGGTATCAGTTACACAAAGGGTAATATCTTTTGTATTTTTATTCCTAAGTAGACTGTAACAATTCAAAACCTGGGTTCTACAAATCTTAGAGCTCAGTAAACAATCTTCATCACCCACAAGCAGCAGCACTTGCATCTGCAAGCCCACCCTCTCTGTTTGTCTCTTGCTAGCATGGATCCCCACAAAACACTCAGTTATAGTCAAGCTTCATCAGCGTGCTGCATAGCTGCGTGCCAGGACACTTGAAAAGAACCCACGCCTCTGGGAAAGTGGCCTTCATCAACAGCTCTTCCATTCTGGCACAGGGGGGCTTTTGCCACTAACCTTCTGTGGAAAAGAGTGGCGCAATTATGGCCCCTCCACACCTGACACTCCCCATCTTAAGTTCTGGGAGTCTGCTTGCACCACACTAACAGACAGCAGCAAGGATATGTGCACTTCCAGATTACTAAGCACATCTCTCCCTTTAACCCATCAGCTATGCTGCTTACTGAAAAGTTCATAGATGACATTGATGAGAAGGTAAAGCAAAATGGACCAGAGAGTGTGGAAGCATGCATGGTAGCCACAAAATATACCTGGGCAAGGTACAGTGAGGTGTACAGATGGGAGGAAACACCAAGGATGACTAGCTTCTACCTCCTGTCACTCAGGACAAGCTTGTTTCCACCATCTCTCTCGTAGACTGGATTTCTGTTCCCCTTGCCCAATCTATCTCACAGAATAGAACAGCTTGCAGAGTGCAAACCCCATACGTGAAAGCAAGCAAAACAACAAACGCTTTCCTTCTGGAGCAAGCTCCCCTCCAGCTGATCACTGTTAACTCTCCCACATCAACCCCCCTGCAGCTTGTCAAAGTCAGTGTTTGGAGCAGGGATTGCAATGGCTCTGCTTCACGCTTGGATTTCACCATAGCAGCAGGAACAGGTAGATACAGAGCAAACATGGCTTGGTCCCCAAGCAACTGCCTACACGGCTGAAGCACAGCCATACCTCTTCCTCAGGATATGGGCTAAGTTCTGCCTGAAGGGCACCACTGAGACATCTCTGCTGTTCTCAAAGCATGTCACAGCTTCCAGTTTCTAATGAACTGAAGTAACAGACCCAACTTAAGACATAAGGCAGGAAAAGCATCCTTATGCCTCCTGATGCCTTCTCACCCAAGCGTTGTCTCCACCTCAGGCATATTTCACTTCTATCCCAGCAATCTCTAACAGGACAGTCCTGATGACATTCCTTTCCAGAAGCCCTTCCAAAGACCCTATTCTCGCCATTTCCTAGTAGATCTGCCTCTGCCCACCTTCAACAAGCCTGTTGCCATTTGTTCTACAGGCCTGGAATCCTCCTTCCTCATCCAAAAGACTTTCTTCCCAAGTCCCTCTTCCACCACCCTGTTTCCACCACTGGGGATTCCTCTCAACACTTTTCTCAGGTGTCTGTGCTCTTTCTCTGGTCCCCATCCTGGGCACTTCCCATCCCCCCACGTCCCAGCCCTGCACACCCACCAAATTTCCTGCTAGTCCAGCGCAGCTCATCACCCTTGGTCTCAATGATGAGATTGATGGCTGCACTCTTGGTGAAGTACTTCTGCACCATCTCCAGGTCCCCAGTGAAGAGCGCATTCTGGACCAGCAGATCCCGGCACTCCAGTGGCTCCAGGCGGCTGCTCTGGCATCCCCGGCCAACCGGGCTCAGGCTGCGCTCGCTGTGGTGGTGCTGGGGCCTGATACGCCGAGAGTGCTTCCACTGATCCAACTGCTCCTCATCCAGCTGCAGCAAGCGTTGTGTGGCAGAGCTGAAGGGAAAGGTGCAGTCCATCACGCAGAACAAACCGGACAAGTCTGAACCTTACAGTAAACAAGCTGCAGCAGGCAAGAGCCTCTTCTCCTTCGCAGGCTGCTCCTGGGTTCCAGCTCCCCAGTGTCTGGCTGGATTCAGGCGCAGGCCTGACTCACCGAGTATAAATAGTCCTGCTTGGCAGTTCCCCTTCACCACCTCCCTTCCTTCCAAGAGCTTATTTTCAGCTGCTGGATGCGATCACCAGCACAGATTAGGCACAGGAGAGGGGTAGCAGGCAGCCTTGAAACACTCGCTATGTGCTCGGTAGTTTGCTCTGCAAAATCTCTGCTCTGCACTGGGCTCGCGCTTGGAAAGAAGCGGAGCAAGGTGAGGGCAATCATGGTGGGGGTAGCTAGGGAAAGGCCTGCAGCAGAGCAGGCGTCAGGACTCATAATAGACTGAGCACCAAGACCTTCCCCACAGGGACCAAAGAAACCCTCACAAGCCCCACACACTGCCCTTGGGAACTGCATCTTCAGGAGGGCGGCGAGGCTGGCTGCCTAGGCACAGCGGAGCAGAGCAAAGGAGGGCACGTAGGCAAGCCCTGGGAAAGCAGCTTGTGTGACATGACCAAGGTTCCTGGCAATAAGGAAGACAGTATTCCATGCAAACCTTAAGAGGTTGGCAAGCGTCTTCAGGGTTCTGAAGGGAGTATGGCCAGCTACGCCATCCACCCCTTAGCAGGTCACATATGGAGGGGTGAAAGATGCTGAATCCCCCTGCCCCAGTTACCACAGCTCACTCTGCAGGACATAGAGTAGGTCCCATTAGCTAGGATGTTGTGCTAGCTTGATGTAGGTTTGGGACCTGTTGAACTTTGTTTACCCTCAAATTACTCTCCTGTAACTAACCTGTTAATTGCTCTGTCCCTGCCAACATGAGAACCTTCCAGCTGGACAGGCTGTGAGCACCAGCAATGGCAACAGAGACTCATTAGCTGCTGTGGGAATTTCAACCAGTATTCTCTACCCAGTCCTATAACTGAGAGTGTCTGGTTGCTGGAGTGACCCAGCAGAGACCTGCTAGAGTGCCTGAGGGCTAACAGGGGTGGCCATGCCCCCAAACCACATACCTCTACCTGGAACTGCTACACCAACCCCCTTTCTCCTGGACCGTACTGTTCCACTGGACAATGAGGTTTTGTTAGAAGTCATCATGTTAGCTCACCTGACTTATCTCCTGGACTGCACCATCTATCCTGCAAAACAGGCAAGTTATGCCACTTGCTAATATTAAATATAGAGGGGACTAGAAGGTGGTTTGGGGTGATTTTTTTCTTTGTTATTGGGGAGGGATTGTTATAGCGTTGGGTTTTTTTCTTTGTTTGGAAGAGTTGTTTGGATTTTGGTTTGTTTGTTATCTGAGCCCATTTAGTCTTTACCTTGTCAACTGGGTTCCAAACTGTGATAGAGTTCTTTCTGGTGTGGCTGCAGGTGCTGATCAGACCAGGAGCTAGGCTTTGCTTGTGTTCCTTTTTGGTGGCTATTTCCAGTGCAGAGAAGAGGACTATTTAAGAACTGGGAAGCCCAGAAGGGTCCATGAACCAGGCCCAGGTCTGCTGGCTGCCTTCAAGAACTGCCAGACATGTTCTCCATTGCTCTATGCCCACGTGCAGTTTGCAGCATCTCACTGGGGTCATAGGCACACTTGTTCTCTAGAAGAATGCAGTGGCCCTATCTCCAGCCCCACTTTGGAATCCAAACGAACTGAAGGCCCAGAAAGGGGTGTGAGAGTGAGAGAAGGGCACATCTAGAGCACACCGGCCAGAAGGAGCTGCTGATCCTCAGAAGGAGCTTAGGGCCTGCCTCACCCCCTCATTTGCTGCAGGACCTGCAGAAGAGGCACTCAGTTGCTCCTCTTCCCTATCCCATTTGTACAGCAAGACCAGCAAAAAACTGGCAGATCCAGAAGTACCCAGACTTATGTAGGCACTAAGAATGGCAGTAGATGTCATTACTGTAAGGCTTGAGACCTCTCCACCCTCATTCACACATGGTAAGCTTCATGTGCTCACCACAGAAGCTCATCGCAAGTTTATCTGTATACACGACTAGGAGGCATGTGTTTCTTCTATACACACCCCCCTCCCAAACCCACTCAGCAATTTGTCCCCCTTCTTCACACAGACAGTGGCCAAAACTAACAAACAACTGCCCTGTTCCAAGACAGCATGTACAGAGCTCATCAGAACTATTTATTAACTTTATTTTTTCTCTTCCCACCCCCTCCACCCCAGCCATTTCTTGTCTTTCTCTTGTGCCTCCTTCACTTCTGCTGTCTCTTACGGTGCCTGGAGCCACATTTTGCCCACAGCCATCTTCATTTACCAGTCCTGCAGACAGAGCAAGAATGCAAGGGGTAAAAAAAGACTGCAAAGGACGGTCACAGCCCAGAAGATAGAAACAGGCTTGGGGCAGGAGGAAGGGCTAGCCATTTGTCCAAAGCACAAAGGAAATGGGACAATCATGCTGAAACCAACCAGAGAACAACAGTCAAGCAGAAGGCAGAGGGGATAGGTTGAATTACCTGCAGACTCCACCAGGCTCCGCTCCCTGTAGATGGGACCCACCTTGCTCAGCAGCTGCAGGAGCTCATACTTTGACTACATGCTTCTTGGCTATCAGCACCAATGCACATAGCTTGCACTACATGGACTTGGCTGTAACCCTCCAACACCTTGACCAGGGCACTGATGCCCAACCTGCTGCTGCTCGGAAGAACCCTCGACTTGCTTTTGGATCAGTCACTGCCAGGTGTCTGAACAAAGCACAGCATCCGTGAGAGGACACCACGGCAGGAAGGGTAGAGAGAACATGACAAATAGCCAGTCTCCTCTGGCCAGATGAGTGGCTCAGTGCAACAGCCCCAACTTGGGGAACCTGGAGTACAGAGAAGGCTGGATTCTCTTAAAGATGAGGAAAAGGAGAAACTAAAGGAACACTCTTAGTTTCTCTCCAACCTGCCTTTCCACCCCCTGCTGCTCCTGCCACTGGAACCAATTGCATCATGCTTCCCCCAGCCATGGGCTTGGGTACAGAATCCAGACCTGGTCCTTCATGCACAGCACTATTCACACACCTTACAACCATCCAGGAAGGGCATTTAGGAGGAACACCCTGACTGCTGGGCTGAGGCCAGGTCCCTAGCCATCACACCCAAAATGCTGGCAGAGGGCAGGCAGGGCTTTTGCACTGTTTCACAGACCTTGGGCTGAGTGGGTGTGCATTTCTGCCTTTGTACCAGCTATCCTGGAGATTTCCTCCTGTTCCCAAGGGTAACAAAAAACCCAGCCCAAACACCCCACCACAATAAAACCCCAAACCAAAACAACAAAACAAAAAACCCCAAATGCAACCAACTGCATACATACACACCCTGCTCCTCCCAGCAGGGCCTTTCCTTCGTGTGACAGGGCTCTGGCATATGCCCTGGCCCCACAGCACAACAGGTCCTTTGCTTACTCTGCCTGACAGGTCACAGGCGGGAAGTCAGGACCATCTGTCCCGTCAGCACTGTCATCTGGCAGGAGTTGTCCAGCTACTGGCACAAGGCTTTACCTTCAAATCCAGTTTACTGGCCCCACTCACTGCACACTCCATAGCGGATTGCATAGTCTGGGTGCAGAAAAAAACAGGCTCCTCCTCACTGGTTTTGCATAATACCTTTGCATCAGGGGCACAGGGTTTGTCTGATGCACAGATCAGCAGCACCCAGTCCTCTGGCCCCAGTGATTTCAGGGCCTTTAGCAAGTCCTTCCTCAGATGCCTTGTCTGTGAGGAAGAAGAGGGTCCTCAGAGTGAAAGGGATCACATGCAGTCCCATGACCCAAGGCTGACAAGAGGGAAGAGGATGCACACCCTTAAAAAAAAAAAAAGCATTGCAATTTTTTTTCCCCAGTGATCTCTCTGCTTCTAAACATCATTGCTCTTATTGCAAGATATTTGTTTTATCTCTTACTAAATCATCTATTTGTTTTATGATTACACCTGTCAGGGGCCAAGGTGAACAAAGTGAAATCAAAAAGGCTGCAACATATTTCTTGCTTAACAGAGCACAAGAGACATGTTGGAATGTCTCATACTCAGAGACAGTAGAGGAGTTCAGAGGATCAAGTCCTGCCTACAGGTTTGCATGGGGTCAGAGGCTGACAGTCACTGGCTACCCTAGAGCGTGCATAAACAACCATCCCCAACCCACCCACCCTTGCTAGAAGTGGGGACCACTCACTGTTGGTACATCTCCAGACATCACACCTTCCCCACAAGAAGCAGCAATTAAGGACAAGGCAAGGAGAATAAGGTTGAGTGGATAACTCCATCTATCTCCCCAAGAGAGACAGTTGTTAAAACAAAACTGAGGTACTCATCCATGCAGCAGCTACCCAAATTGGTACAACAAGACAAGGTGGAAATCTGTCCATGATGTGGGACAGAGCAAGGGTGCTGGAACCCCTAGCCCAACAGTAATGCAAGTGTGTCCATTTGCACGTGCTCATGTGCATGACAAAGCATGTCTGCACCCAAAAAGACAGATTTAGGGAGAGTACTTTGTTACTGGCAGAGTCATCTGTGGAACCTACAAGCCTAAAGATGTAGTATACAGTGCTATGAGGTCAGAGACCACCCAGGAAACCATGATTTCATGCAGATGTTAGCTGGTTATATACACTAACATGATTTACTAAATGCTGCCACCTCCAAAAGGTTCTGATGACACATAGTAAGCTACTGGAGCCCATACTGTGCACTTTGTTTTCAAGCCTTGAACAATTGGCTCTTAATTTTCTACCTTAAACACTAATAAGCCATGGTTGTTTTGCTGTTAAAGCTGCTGGGTACAAAGAAGCTGCCATGTTGGATTGAAGCCAAAAGCAAAAGTACACACCTCTACAATACAGTAGATGAAAGGAAAGAGGGATCCAAAAGAACTTGTACCCTGAGCATAAGAAAGGGGACCAGCAGCTAGATCCTGCTAGTCTG